GGCGCTGAGCTTTTGGATTGATTTGGGGGAGCCCCCGCCCCCCGGTTGCCCTTGTCATCTGGCCGGGGGCGTTGCTGATCGGGATTGTGATGACACTTTTCCACTTCCTCAGCCTCGGCGTACCGGTCCCCCCGCTGTAGGGTCCTTATGTAATCGCGGGGAGGTTCGATGATGAGGCTCCTTGAAAAGTTCCCGGGGCGGAGGACTATTTGAAGGAGGGCCAGGAGGGTCCCATCGTCAGCGCCGTCAACTTTATCCGCCTCCGTCCTCCAGCGTTACAAGAAGTCCTGAAGGATCTCCTCCTTTCTTTGTCTCACCGTCATCAAGTGGTAGAAATGTTTTCTTGACCGGCGCCTCCCTGCAAACTGCGTCAAGAAACGTTGGGCGAGTTCCTGCCATGAATCGATGCAGCCTTCGGGCAGTAGGTTGAACCATTCGTATGCTGGTCCCTCTAAGGTGGAGAGGAACCAACGGCACAAATATTCGTCTGATGCCCCCACCATCATCATACTGTTCTGATATCTGCTGTAATGCTCCTGGGGATCTGTCTTCCCTTCATAGGGCCTGATGGGTTGCCCCCGGTATTTTTCCGGAATTCGGGGCGCCAATTCCCCCGTGGAGAAAACGGTACTAGCCATTGTTTGGACTGTCAAGAAGCTAGGCCACTACTTTCAAGCTCATCCGGTCCAAGTGCTCACACATCAACCCCTCGGCGCCCTTATGAGGAGTCCAGCCCCTCCAGAATGGTAAAATGGGCTATCTTCCTCAGCCAGTACAACATAGACATCCGTCCGAGGCCTGCCATCAAGGGCCAAGCCTTGGCAGACTTCGTCACAGAATGCACCACAAGATCAGCGGTGAATGAGGAGCCCTCGGCCCCTCTAGACGAATGGTGGACCCTCTATACCGACGGCTCCTCGGCCACCAAAGCATGCGGAGGGGGAGTAGTCCTCATAACTCCCGAGGGCTTCCGCGCCTATTATGTCATACGCTTCTCCTTCAAAGTGTCGAACAACGAAACCGAATATAAGGATCTCCTCTGTGGCCTTCGGCTGGCAGCAAATATGAAGGCCAGAATGATCCACGTCAAGTGTGACTCCAAGCTTGTCGTGGGCCAAATCTCCAGGGAGTATGAGGCCAAGGAAGGGAGGATGAAACAATACAAGGAGGCGGCTAAAGAATTGCTCAAGGTATTTGAGGCACACTCTCTCACCCAAATACCGAGGGCTCAAAATTCTGAAGCCGATATTTTATCAAAGCTTTCAGCCGAATCCCCGGAGCACCTCTCCAAGATTGCAAGAATCGAAGAGCTCAGCCTCTCAAGCATACATGTGAGCCCCATCATGGATATACATCTCAGACCGGAGGAATGGATCTCCGACATCACCACCTTCATCACCACAGGGAAACTGCCCGAGGATGAGGCCTGCGCAAAGCTAGCAAAATTGAGGGCTCCCAGCTACACCCTCGAGGATGGAAGGCTTTACAAAAGATCTTACAACGGTACCCTCCTTCGGTGTCTTCATCAGGATGAAGCCGAAGTTGCAATGGAGGAAGTGCACGGTGGCACTTGCTCATCTCATCAGGGACCCTTCTCCATGTCCCGAAGGCTCATAGTCCAAGGATACTTCTGGCCTACGATGGCCCGAGATTGTGCGGATCTCGCCCGAAGGTGTGCTGCCTGTCAACACTTTCAGAAGGCTCCTGGCAGGCCAGCGGTCAACTATGCCCCCATCAGCACGTCCATACCCTTCTCTAGATGGGGCATAGACCTTGTGGGCCCTCTACCGAGGGGTATCTCCAACAACAGGTACATCATCGTTGCCATCGACTACTTCACCAAATGGGTGGAGGCTGAGCCCCTCGCCATCATCACCGAAGCTAGATGCCGCCACTTTGTCCTCAAGAACATCCTCACAAGGTTTGGCGTCCCTCAACAAATCATCACCGACAACGGGACTCAATTTGAGGCAGCCCCCTTCTATGCCCTCCTAGAGGCATGGGGCATCAAGCATACCTTCTCATCCGTTGCCTATCCTCAAGACAACGGACAAGTGGAGAACGCCAACCGAACTTTACTCGAGGGCTTGAAAAAGAAACTCAAAGCCGAAGGGGGAGGCTGCGTAGAAGAGCTCCATAACATTTTATGGACCTACCGCACCACCCCTCGGCGGGCAACAGGTGAAACACCCTTCTCCCTTTGTTACGGATTCAAAGCCAAGGCTCCCAGTCAAGTAACCCTTCCTACCCGAAGGGTGGCCCAATATGATTCGGAAATTAATGACGCCAACATGGCTCTCGACCTTCACTTCATCTTAGAATGCCGAGAGCAAGCCTTCATACAGGCGGAGAACTACCGAAGGCAAGTAAAGGGCTACATCGATGCCAAGGTTCGTTACCGAGAATTTCAGGTGGGGGACTACGTTCTCCAAAAGGGAAGTTAGCCAACCAACCGAGGGCGGTAAAATGGCGCCCAAATTTGAGGGTCCATACATAATTGCAGCCGTCATCAAACCAGGAACATACAAACTCAAACGCCCCAACGGGACTGAGGTCCCCCGACATTGGAATATACATCATCTAGTTAAATTTTATCAGTAATATTGGAGCGGCCAAGCCCTCATAACTAATGAATGTATTATCCTATGGCCCAAGGCCTCCAATTTTTTGAAGAATGAAGACATGTTGAAGACACCAAGAACGGAACACTTGTGAGCGGCCAAGCCATCATACAAGCACCTGGCCCAAGGCCTTATTACAATCAAGATCCCTCGGCACTTGCCTCTCGGCGCCAAGTGCCGAGGGTAGACACCCCAATCACCTACCACAATGAAGAAAAACACCAAGTGTTTTCAACGGAGACCCCTCAGCACCAAGTACCGGGGAGTGTGCAAAAATAAACATCAAGTGTTATTTTTTAAGTCGTACCCCTCGAGGACGCATTTATGCCGAAGGCCCCACCTCTCGGCGCCGGAGGTACCAAGTACCCGGCCTTTTGCAACTAATATGCAAATAAAACCCTTCCTGAAACGCTTTCCGCACCATTACCCCAAGGGAATGGCAGGCAACTAATATGCCTCAGGATTCGACTTTCAAAAAACGAAACGCTCCCCGCACCATTACCCCAAGGGAATGGCAGGCAACAGACTATGTCTCGGGCTGAGGGGATGACTTTCAAAACTGAGGCGCTTTCCGTGCCATCCCCCAAGGGGAGGCTGGCAATGGACTATGTCTCGTGTCGAGGAAACGACCCTCGATCCCCTCGGAACCCAGAAGGTTAACCTGAGGGGGAGCTAATGGTGTATATTGTTGCCTCCCGATAGGCCAAGCCTTACCAAAAAACCAAGTTTCTTGAAGCCTTCCCTTCACTACCCAAAAAAAAATGGAGTGGAGGGGAGTAGACTCAACGAGCAATCAATGAGTACAAACCCCAACAAAACACCTTTCGGCAGTTCCTCAAAAGGCATTCCAATATCATAACGAAGGCTTCCTTAAGGAACACCTCTGGTACCTGAAGGCTCTTAGTCAGGAAGTCACCTTTGACGATGGCTCTTACTCCGAAGGCTACTGTACGACAGACGTTGTCAGAAATAGGCCAAGTCCACTTTCTGACTACCTCCGGCGTCACCAACACCGAAGGCTCTAATCCTACAAAAGGGATAAAATTGGCTAAGTCCACTCAACAACAATTCAAGGAATACCGAAGGCATCCGCTTTCTGTCCGCCCTCACTTCAACATGAATGTCCTACAAAATTTTCCTAAGTCCACACTTTGGAAGCCACTATGGCCGAGGGCGCATGCTACACACTACCGAAGGCGAGTACTCACAGACATGATCTTGAATTTCCTAAGTCCAAATTCCAACAACTTCCAGCACTACGATCTACACCAGAGGCTAATACTCACGTGGTCCATTTACCGAAGGCCAAGGGACAAGTAACACTTACAAAAAATTCCAAGCCCTAAATGTTTGGCCCTCGATCAAATCTTCACGCAGCCAGAGGGGTCACACAACCGAAGGCTCAGTGGTAAAACTACACATGGAAAAATGTATAAGTCCTAACCGTTCGCCCCTCAGCCAAATCATCATGAAAGCCAGGGGGCCTAATAACCGAAGGCCACATAATGCACATCACTTAGAAAATTCTCTAAGTCCTAAATGGTTTGCCCTCGGTCAACTCATGTCGGCCACACAAGATCAAAAGGAAACATCGACCGAAGGCCAAATACTAAACAACACTTAGAAATTTTTTTTCTAAGTCCTAAATGGTTAGCCCTCGGCCGTACACCAAGCAAACATACATTCATACGAAGGAAAATAAAGCAGACAGGGGAAGAAAGGAACGCATTCATTCATCAGAAGGATGGAAAGGAATAAAGTCAAACGACATACAATTACAAAAGAGAAAAACACATGAGGTGTTTGTTTACGATCATGGTAGAAGCCGGAAGCATACGAATGTTTGTTACAAAATATTTATAAGTACAAATCAAGGGTTGTTTGCTCTGGAGGCATCCGCTTCTGCTGGCTTCGAGGTGACATCATCCCTGGCCTCTTCCTCTTCATCACTGCACTCTACCATCAAGACGGTGTCCTCGAGATCTGACCTCTTAACACCCTCGGGAAGGGGAATTCGGGTGTCTAGCTGGAGAGGGGGGAGCCCATAAGCCGCCGGATCAAATGTCGTCGGGTCCATTCCCAAGTGCCTGGCTAGCCTTCGATAGATGAGGGCCTGAGTAAAGTACTCCCCCCATCGTAGTACTCCTTCCCCTTTCGGGCCAGCCACATCGCCCCGGGGCCTCTCACCCATTCGTCTACCGAGGTCTCAACTACCGAAGCCACCCACTCCTTCTGGGTCTCGGCTTTCCACCCCTCAGCGACAAAGGCGGCCACCGCTTCCCTATCGGCATGACTCACCGCCTCCCTCTTGGCGGCCTCGGCATCTTCAGCGGTCTTCTTAGCGGCCTCAGCAGCTACCTTCTCAGCCTCATCTCTCCCCTCGGCCCTGGCCACTGTCTTGGAGTTATCAAGAATTTTGTTGAGGGGCGCCCTCTCGACTTCGAAAGCTTCCTCGGCCTCCCGAAGCCTCCTTCGGGCCACAGCCAAGGCTTCGTCATCCTTATGCTTCTGAAAGGCATAGCGCTCCATCCTCTGGATGAGCTCACCAAGGCCAAGGCTTGCCTGCAAGGGGGATCATGAAACATCGAAGGTTAAAGTCACTACGCACAAATATGTTGAGTCTAAAGGGAAGAAAGGAGAAGGGATCTTACAGTAACCGAGGCCTGAAGGACCTTGGAGCAGAGGACGTCATCAGCATGCCGGGAGAGCACTGACTTGTCTGTCGGGGGAGTGGCACCCCTCAGGAACTCCTTCGGGTTCAAGGTGCCATGCATGATAGTGGTCCCCTTAGTGATTGAGAACTGCACATGGTCTTGGGGCCACGGCACACCAGCAACCGGAGCCGAGGGCTCGGAGGGTTGTTCATCAACAATGACAACGGGGGCCTCTTTCATCCCGACGGCCCCCTTCTTTTGCTTCTTCTCCTCCGGGGGCACCACGCCATTCCCGACTCTTTTCCTCTTGAGCTCCCCAATGGGAGAGCCTCCAGCATCAGAGCTGGTGTCTTCGCCGGCAGCAGCCTTCACCACGGGCACTGCCTCCTTGGACCCGTCGACAGTTCCTACCTTCGGGAAGATGTCATCCACCGCCCTCTGCTGCGCCGGGGCGTCCTTCTTCTTGTTCTCCTTCGCCAGTTGCTTCTTCAATTTGAAGAGGTTCCTAGCGTCCATATCTGGTCCTGAAAAACAAGGAAGGCACACAAGTGTTAGAATATATACTACTACAAAAAAGCAAATGAAGAAAAATTTGCTAAGTACACAAACTAAAGCCCTCGGCAATGCTACCACCTTCGGCGCTCTCGTATACACGATCAATCTCGGGATAATTTTCGGCCTCCTCCCCCATTAGCCGATACCGGCGGAAGCCGAGCTTGTACAGCTCGTCCGGAAGGGTGGCATCCTTAATCTTGACATGCTTCTCAGATCCCTCAGGCTTCTTGGAGAGTTTCCTCCCCTTCTTCTCCAAAGCGGCGCTCCCTACCTTTACGTGCCTCCGGAAGCTATCGCGGAGTGGGGCCGGGAAGGGATTCTCTGCCATGTGGACATAGCAAAACTTGTCTTTCCACCCCTTGTGAGACGAAGGGACATCGTCGAAGAGCCTGAAATTGGGGAGCTACTGCAGGTTGGCGAAGCCTCCAGCATTTGAGTGACCTCCCCGGCAGAGGTTGAAGGAGAGGAAGAATTGATCTAGAGTGGGCTCCACATCCCTGCTCCGGCAAAGGGAAAGGAAGCCAGCCAAGTAGGAATGGCTGTTCAGGGTCAGCTGGCGGGGGGCGAGTTTGACGAACCGAAGGTACTCGATCACGAAGGGGTGGAGGGGGAATCGGAGGCCCAACTCCACCGAGAGTATGTGCACGGCAAAACAGCCAGCGGGGGCATATAACAGAATGTCATCTGGCCCTGACTCCACCACATGTGCCAAGGGCCCGACCAAGAGCTGTGTCACCATGTATTCCCCCCCCCCCCATGTGGCTCTAGTCTTCACATCCAAGGCATCAATGTTCAAGTAGGAGTAGCCTTCGGGAATCCCTACTGGTTGACCCGCGTCGACGGCAGCGTGCTTCTTCTTCGGTGCCGCCCTCATCTTCTTCTTCTTTTTACCCGGCACCACGTTGATAGGTGTCAGGTCCAGGGGCCTTGAGCTCCCGGCTTCATCATCATTGTGAGGGGGTGGGACAGCGACGGTGACCTTCATCATCTCCTTCTGCGCCTCATCCTCAACCACTTGAAAGGCGAGGGCTAACTCCTCGTCTTCGCATTCTTGTTCAAAATCTTCGGCCTCCATTTCAAGCTGAAGGCTCTTCTGCACCTCCTCAGCTACCGCAAGGTCATTATTGACCGAGAGATGTGCGCTCGAGGATTCCACCTCGGATATGGTCTCTTCGGCAACCGGGGGCTCCCTCGAGAGGTCTTCAGAATCGCTTTGCGAGGACATTACTAATCGCTAAAACCGGAGGGTTCGAGATAAAAGGTCCCCTAAGGATCTAAGGCCACAAAACAAGGCGTATTATTGAAGCGAAGAATAGGTGGGGGACTGACCTCTGAAAGCTCGATTTGATTGAAGGTAGGAATTTATCTCTCTAGAAAATCCGGCTGAGCTTCGCTATGATAAAGAATGCGTAAGAAATATGAACCATGCAAGGGATATTTATAGCCTCCAATATCCGGGCTTGGGCCGAAATCCGGGCCCCTAGTCCCTGGAATCATCATTACAACCCGTCGGCTTGGCCAACCAGTGACGCCCGCCCGATGAGAGCCAACGAGCACGCGCCACGTGGACACCACCTCCAATGGCTATATCCCAACGGTCATATTCCAGCTGTCATGCCCCAACGGCTCTCTTTCACAGACTAAATTCCCTCCTTCAGACTCCTTCATCAAAGGAGCCCCCGGTTTAACAAGGGGTAAACCCCTCAGGGCCCCTCAGCCCTCAGCATGTTGAAAACCAGGGAACCCCTCATCTGTGGTTAACCTCTGGCACACAGGGACAATCACCGGCATTCATCAACAGAGATCACGCCTTCAGCCTCATTGGCTGGGGGACCACCCTCGGCAGTCCCCGGAATGCTCACTCATGCTTATCGACTACAGACAACTTCGAGGAATGCTCCCAGCAGTCACTCCCCTCGGCATAACCAGGACACCAACGAAGAGCCTTCGGCAAAATCAGTGATCAACCCCTCAGATCACGGATAGCTCTCGGCGGCAACATTGCTCTTCATCTCAAACCAAGGACTCACCTTTTTGATTCATCATTGGGGGAACACGGTACACTCTTTTTCCCTCGTTAGGATTTTTTCCCAAAGGGTTTTTCCTAATGAGGTTTTTAACGAGACATCCCCCCAAATGAAACGAAAAGCACAAGCCTTCATCCTCGTGAGGGAAGCAGGCACGCCTCTACTCCTCTTCACCACATTACATATGCCTCAAGGAGTGGGGGACTGGAGAACCCCTTCGGGAAATTCACAAAAATACAAAATTTTCCTTCGGCCCCAAAAAGTGGGGAACTGAGGGTCTGCCCTCGGAAAACACGCAGGCGCAAAACTCCTCACCACTTTTACAAACTACAGCAAGGCAGCATCAGAGGACAAACGCAATAATTACTCCTTTTCCCTCAAGTACCTTTCGGTAAAAGGAGTGAGGGACTCCTGATGGAGTATATGGCCCAGGAACCCCGGTCCATAGACTCCCACTACTATAACAAAGGCCCAATAAGGCCAGGAAGCACATCAGGCCCAATAAGCCCAGGAAGCACAGCAGGCCCAAATCAAGCCACCCACGACGTACACTTGGGTGCCTTCGGCCCCCATTGCCGAAGGCTCATAAACTTACAGTACATATGCTTTTAAGCACTCGAAGTTACTAGGAGAAAACGGCGAAAACAGTAGCCCTCGGCACCTAGAGCCCTCGGCACCTAGAGGTCGGCCCTCGGGATGAAGAGCCTTCGGCTAATCATCTACGGCTAACTCAACCGTCACTTGAGGCAGAATTGAAAGCAATTGCGTTTGCGATTAAATGGGCTGTAGAGGAAGGGTTTGATGAGTTTCAGGTAGAGTCGGATTCGGGCATGGCTATCGCCTATCTAGAGAACATTGAAGTGCGAAGATTGAATGATCTACTTAAGGAAATCTGACTCTTAGCAAAAAGGAAAGGGTTGATGTTTGGACAGACGCTGAGAGAAGGGAACTGAACGGCTCATTACTTGGCAGTGGATCATTTGGGCTAGACTAAAGCATTTAATTGCTTAGGGTACATACCAACTCATGTTGGACGGGCTTTTTACATGGATTTGTTTGGGATCCCCTCTCTTAGATATTAATCAGTTTTTTACTTCAGCTTTTATTTCTCGTTATGCTTTTTCTCTGAGAGGTCTTCATATAGCCCCTCTTTTTTTTTTGCTTCTGTCATTTACTCCGTATATAATTTGGTAAATGTTCCTTAACATTTATCCGACTGATTTTGGTGGTTTGTCTACCGAGTTAAAAAAACCTAACTCAACCGAAAATTCTTCCGGTGAAATTCTTGGCAGCAACTGAAAATAATTTCGTCAAATCTCAAAACTATACGCTCCAAACATAACGAAATAATAATGAATTGAGGGGAAAATTGAATTGGCAAATTGAATATGCAGTTTTCATATAAACTAATTCGGAATTTGGTTTATTGGCAATTCATGATTGCATATTTGCAGGCAGTCTAAGGGTATACATCAAAGAAAAAAAAGGATGACACATCATCCCTGAGGGTCTCCCAACCCCGATCGGACGGTACGTTGAGAGGATGTAAATTGGACTATAATATCAATCTGACAAATAGAGAGTGAGACTCTGTTCCCGGTACTTGCAGAGGCCCTATGCATTTTTAGCATAGTAATTCTTCATCGCAATTGCCGGATTCGAACCCGGAACATAACCCTTGTGGCACTCCCTTGCTACTAGTTGAGCTACGTCCACCGATAGGGTATACATTAAAGAAATAATCAACCAAGGGACTTAGCTCACCTCATAGGAGGAGATATTACGAGGTCCTGGATTCAATTTCAAACAAAAACTTGGAATGAAAGTATGAAACTCCACTTTGTTTCAACCAAACTAGTGTATGATTAAAGGTCAATTTACATCTTTCCAGATATCTCTGGTTGGATTCTAGGGGTCTCAGCCCTCAGGTGTCATCTTTTTTAAGAAATAATCACATTTTTAAAATTAGAAAAATCGCAAAGATGGCAATCTCTCGACCGTGGAGGCGTGGGCCGCGTGGCCTGCTGTAGAATATAAAAATGAAAATCCTACACTGCTCGTTTGTTTTTCTTCTATTGTCTAATACACGAGTACTAATCCTTTCAAAAAAAAATACACAAGTACTAATGAACAAGTGACGTACAAAATTACAACACAGCAAGACCAGTGTGATAAAGGTATGTTCTGTTGTCAAATTTCAGCTGTCAGGAGAGTGACTTTATCAACGCATGGGCAACTTCGTGAAGCAAAAATTGTCTTCAATTCCATCTCTCTTTTGGTATACCAGATACAGGGAAGAGCAGTTACCCAGCAAGACATGTCCCCTGAAATATCAGTTTCTGCCTCAGAAACCAAGCTTCAATATCCAAGTCGCCGACCTCTCCTCTCCAACAGAAAGAGGGGGAAAAAAATGAAAGAATCACAGGGGTTAGAGTAACTACATGCTCACACATATTACAGAAACAGAAAAATATTCCCTGAAGGCATCACGTCCCAGACGATTTTGAATCTTTTGTTTTATTAACACGGCACATGCAATCTGGACAGGGAAAGGAATATATAGAGTCATTTGGTCTTTTGATCTCAATCCCTTTTGAATCACTATGAGCTCTCATATTTAGCATCTGACGCTTGAAGCTCTTCAACCTGGAAACAAAAACTACCAGATTCAATCAACAAAGACCAATGCACAAGATAAGGAACTTAGCACACTGGTGCTATAAAAAAAATGTTTCAATGACAGGCACAATACTTATAAAAGCATGAAACAAATTTAAAGCATCTTTGGTATACATGATCTTCTAAACCATAGTTTTGTCTAGGTGCAGTCTACTACACCATTACTTTTCTATAAAAAAAAAAGGGAAGCCCGATGCACATTGGCTCCCCACAAGGCGAGGGTGCGGGGAAGGATCCTACCACAAGGGTATATAGGGGGGCAAACCTTCACTTGTCATTTTGACAAGAGGCCGTTCCCAAGACTTGAATCAGTGACCTCTCCGTCACACAACAACACCTTAACCGGTGGGCCAAGGCTCCCCTTCACCATTACTTTCTACTCATAAAAAAATGTTGCAAGTATGCATACCCAATGTTCGGGTTATCAAATATTAGTGCTAACTTCCTCTTGTCAGGCCTGATTGTTCTCGAATGACCGCCATACAAGTATCTTCTATGGCCTAGCAGAAAATGTGGGAAGTTTCCGCCTTGGGTGGTCACAAATACTTCACTGTGGAGACAAACAGTGTAGTCTATAGCAGCCATCCTGGAGGAATAGTTCTGGATGCAATAAACTGAGTTACCATGAGTCAAACAAATTATACAAGGGTGTACAAGAAGTTGCCCATAGGAGAACTAGACAAATTTACACCTGAAATGGAGCCAGTTCTTCTGAAGATGCCAGCATTTCTTTTGTTTGTAAAAGAGGAAACATTTCCAATAGTGGTTTCATATATCTCTCAGAGTCGTATATTTTCCCTGATGCCAAATAGATGGAGGTGGCCTTATCAAAACCCATCCCTCTTAACATCAAACCAACCTGATAAATGAGAGGGATTAAAGAATGAGATAGTGGAACAATAAAGCATGTGTCCAGGAGACTAAAGATCACAATTCACAAAAGTAGAGCCAGTAGGCACACACTTAATACATCCAACTATGTAATCAATTAACTGGCAAGTTTTCAAGAGAGCCTATCAAGATAGTGGCATAGCTTTCATAATCAAAGCTGCAGCCATAAATTTCAAAGATTTTCATGATTGGAGATTCTGAAGTAGACTTATCATATAAATACTCTCTCCCTCCCAAAAAGTTCTTCCCAGTTTGATTTGGCATGCTTATTATGAACATGTGGTTATAATTGAAATAAAAAGGAGAGAATAATATTACCATACAAACATTTACTTAAAAGGGGAATGGGAAGAAAATTTTGGTACATCCCAAAAAGATAAGTGGGAAGAAATATATGGGACAGACCGACAGAGGGGGTACTTTACAAAGTTTACAGGCTGCGGGTTTACTCAATAACATGCTATAGACCATGACCATAGTAATCATCATTGACGCTGTCACTATCAGTAGCAACACTTTTACGTAGAGTGCTTATGTTAAGGGCGTGATTGGGAGAACAGAAAGATGGTGAAGATTGAAGAATGAAAGCTACAAAGATTAAGATCTATTCGCCCATGATAGAGCAGGCTTCCTCTTCTTACCCGTGGCAGAGAAAGAGTTTGTGTGGTTGACCTTGCTGAAGATAAGAATCAACTCCAAAACTATTAATATTATTGATGAGTAGAAACCAGAAACGCTCTAATTACACTGCAATTAGAAATATTAACTAATATAGAATAGTAATACTGATAAAAGGAAACTGATACTAATCTTACTAAATAACTAATAAAAATAATCATGATGATGATGAATTATATCCCTAACATTCGTTGGAATAGCCTAGGGCCCTAGGCACACCCATATTAGCTAAGGTCCAAATGTCCAACAAAACAGGACACAAGCTATAGTGTTAAAAGACAACTATTCATCAATTATATCTATACAGAGATTCAGGCTGAAGGTGTACTAGTAGAACACTGATGTAGACATTACCTCTAAAGGTGTTAAGGGGCACTTCCCATTTAGTCTGATCGCTCCAGGGCGTATAACTCGACCACGTTTTGTAAACTTTCCCTTCCATCCTCTCTCCCTTGCAGCATCCATGTCTTTTTTCTCTGCGTCTCCACCGTCATATATACAACAAGAGAAAGCAACCATGTCCTGTATAAGAGATGGAGTGATAAAACAGCAACTCCACAAGCTTCTTTTTTTTTTTTTTGAAATTTAAGCCAGTGGAATATAATAGGAGTATCTAGCAAAACTAACCTCTTCAAAGCGAAGGTGAATAGATATATACTTGCCACTGTTATTTATACTCATTTCTTTCATTCTAGCAACAAGTGATTCACCCAAAGATAAAATGGGATTTGAAAAGCGAAGGGCTTCATAATTCGCCAAGCACCTAAGCCGTTGCACTGCTGAAGGAGCATCAAATGACAAGCGGTTTGCAAAGGGGGAAATCCTGATAATTCTGTGTTGAAGATAAGAAGGAACTTACTGATCAATGACAATTATAGTGTGGGACTATATAAATTAACAGCTCTAAGAAACAGTAACATAACTCATTAAAAATTTAACAGTTCTCACTAGTGTAACAATCCTTTATGCTTTTATACAGATATTACATACGACATATTATATTGATGGTTAGTTGGTGCAGTAACAGTATAGTTCCATTCAAGCAAAGCAAATGGTTCAAAGGTTCCAGAAGCCCACATAATGAAAAAATGATTCAACCTTACATCTTCCACAAGCGCCAACTTACGCATTTCTCATTTTATCTAAAAGCACTACATAAACGAACGAGGATAAATCAGGACAGATAAAGAAAAAAATCCAGAAGCTTACTTCTCTTCAAGCAGCTTTGGCAAAACTGTGTCTTTGTAGTAATTAATGGAAGACCATGCTTTTATCCTGAAGTTGTATACATTGCTCATGTTGTAGTCAAACCTTCCCATAATGTAATCAGGAATTGCATCCACTACCCGTACATCATGTTCCAGGATTTTAACGAAAAACTCTTCATCATAAATATCTCCAAATTTGCTGTGTAAATAAAGCCAACAGAAGACATGTACTTTGAGAAGGACAAAGATTGAATATGTCAAATTCAAAGCTACCAGGAGCGCCCCCCATTATACTTAGAGCCCGTTTGGTGACCCCTTTTTACGGCTTATCAGGCTTATCAGCCAGCTTTTTCACCAAACACGTAATTTTTGATTTCGCACGCTGAAGTTTGTAATAAGCAGAAAAAGTAAGGTTGGAGTTACTTTTCTGGCTGTTTTGGTTGAAGTTATAGTAGAGGATCATTTTAGCTTTTTTCATATAATTTTTTATTTAATTTATTAATAACAGATATTTTAAATATAACTTTTTCATGAATAAGCAGAATCAGCCAATACAGCCACTTCAGCCAGAACTTCATAAATTTCAGGAGAATAAGCCAATTCAGCCAATTTTAGTGTTACCAAACGGGATCTTATTGTAGTGTAATACTATGTAATATTTAAAAGGTAAACGTTTTCATTCTTGTTTATGTGACCAACATTAAGATGTGAGATTAAATCCATTCAAATAATAAGTTCGGCTACACGAATAATATTACAACAAATTTGCATACACATCTTTGGGGTTCTTCATAAATTTGTAGATTACATGGACATACACAGAATAGGAGAAAGAGACTTGCTGACCTTGGATCCCTCCATATGCTATGAAAATGGAAGTGTGGAATAACAAGAGTAGCATTAAGATATCCAGCCACAGCAACAGCATTGCATATCTGGAACAAAATATTCATTATTTGTAAAATGAGTATTTAATACCTGTTAAATAAAGCTCATGTATTTGATATTTGAAATAAATAAATAATGAAAAGTATGAATGGCAAAACATACTGATGTTCTTTGTTGATTCAAACCACCATTGGCTTCAATATAAATATAGCCATTTGATTCAGGTAAACCTAGTAACATCGTAATGCAATCTTAACTGAGTTGTAGAATGAGGAAAACTAGCACACGACAGATTGAATAAATATAGTAATTATATATTATATCAGTATATGCATGTGTATTCAGTTGTGAAAGTTAGTATAAAAGGATGAATTTGATAAGAACACAAAAAGAGAATCAGATGTTTGTGGAATACACAAAATTAGAAGCTTATGAGGTCATGGGGAAATCAGATGCAATACAAATCACCTGTTTGTTTAATTCTACCTCAACATTCTGAACATCTGAACGCTAGGTACAACAGAAAAATCACATGATATACTCAAAGAGAATCATACAACAACACCAGCAAAGCATTTGTCCCAAAACATTGGGGTTAATGCAATTAACAAACAGAAAAAATGTTGACACCCACAAAAAACTCATTTTCTACTCCTTCCTGTCAACAGAAAAAATGTTGACACCCACGTTCATTGACCCTGGACGCTCTGTCATAACTTTTTATGCCTTTAATTCATGTCATTTTAGGCCTATCGCCATTCCTCTTTTAGGGAGTGCTTGCAAGAGATTAAAATAAGTGTTTCTCAGCTTTTAGCTTAAAAAATCACTTTAAAATCACTTTGAAATTAGTGTTTTCAAACATCTACTACAGCTTTAAAAAATCACTTTAAAGCTAAAAGTTGGAAGCTGGAGTTGGGGTGCTTTTAACTGCTTCTTGGTTTCTTTGTACTCCGTAATCAATTCAAACTTTATGGAGGGTTATAATGGAACGTGTGTTTAGCTTGGACCAAAGACACCCTCATCTCTTGTCAGTACACCTCCTTAGTCCGACTCCACGTCTCTCTTTCACCTGGTCATATGTGTGTGTACTCCCTCCGTCCCGTAAAACTTAGCCAATGTTGACTTGCACGTAGATTAATAAAGTAAAAACTGTGTGGTTGATATTTGTGCAGAGGAGAGAGAAATAATTGTAACCACATATTTGTTACTTTAAATGTTTATGGCAAAGTTTTTTGGGACGACCAAAAAAGGAAAGTTGGCCAAGTTTTATGGGACAGAGGTAGTATAATTCTTTTACATTATATAACAAGAAGCCACAACAATGGAAGGAATGCACGGGGATGGCACTATCTGAGGCGGCCATGAACACGACCACCAACTGCAGCCACAGGATGACTTCCAGATTTTGGGGGGGCAGACCGCCCTATACGGCTTTAAAATTGAACTCATCATGCTCATTGTGATGTCTTTCGACAGAGAAAGGAATTGCAAGAACCAAACTCGATCAACAGAGGAAGGAATTGCAGGAACCAAATTCAATGGTGGAAGCATTTGCAGGAAGCCGGAGGAGAGATGACGCCCCATACGGCTTTCTAATCTTTCACTTGGATTGAAGAAAGCAATTGCAAGAGAGATGGCGCCCCATACTCCCTACTTTGAAAGACATGATTGGCGTTGAAGTTGGGCAATAGAGAGATGCTTGAAAATGTTTTATTATTCAAGGGCATTTTTGTAGTTTAACAAAATATTCCATTTAAAATCACTTTTTTACCAAACACTCAAACTTCAACTTTTTCACCTTAATCACTTCTATTTTAAAACACTCCCAACTTTTGCTTTTAAGCAATTTCTCTAAAATCACTTTTAAAACACTTTTTTAAAGTTGAAGCAATCGCAAACACTCCCTTAGTCTAAAACACTCCAAGACGACCTCTCTGCGTCAGAGCACTGTTTATCGACAACCAATACCCTTACATCATCTCCTGCGAAAAATCTCATTGTGCACTTTTTGTAAAATCATACCACACATCTATCTTAACACCTTTTGTGCATCTATTCTAATTTTACCACACATCATCTTGTACTCCTTGCTATATTTTGCCTTGTGTTCATTCAGTCTCAATGCTCTAATTTGTTAATTATGGGGTGTTTTCCCAAAAATATAACCTCTTGAGCGATCTTTATTTATTTATGACCTTTAATTCATGATTTTATTTATTTATGACCAAATACATATTATTTTACGAATTCGAGCCAACCGATTAATGTAATTCATTCTTTCCGATCTTCAAATAATTTCCGAAATTGGTTCTTTGGATCCCACAAATGCAATTTCTATTAATTTATTCATCTTTCATAGAAACGTTGATCACACTCACTTGGCCACCATCAAATAACACCAAAGCATAGTCTCCGTCTATTCTTTTCTCTTTATTCTAAAGGGGGTCATTTGGTTTCTTGCATCTAGTGCATTGCACTACTCCAATGTCACCAATCAACCTCTCCTTCCTATGAGTCATCTAATGTAAAACTATATTTCTCACCCCTCCAGAGTCCAATTTACCATAAATATCCTAATGCAATATTGATTATCAGTCTACCACATAGAACATAGAACAGCCTATCTTGCGTTTGATTTTTCAACTTCATATTTTTCTTGAGTTCTTTTCATCCCGATGTCTTTTCAAATATTGGTAGTATACTTGGTCATTTCCTTCATCTAAAGGCATCCTAACATTTAAACAGAAATTCATGATCGCCCAATGCAACCTCGCAGCAACTTTAACAGCAGGAAATGCCAATAGTATTAGTAGTTAGAGTGTTAGACTAAGAGTAACTGACAACAAGATAAAATAAAGAGTTAAAAGAAACTACAAATATGAAGATGAAGATATTAGAAGTATAGAAAAACATTAGTAAACTGCAAGCCACACACATAAATTAAATACCATATATTATGTACCTCCAGATGACTTGTTTGTGCATGGTCTCCACTCATCACCTTTGTAGGAATGCTTCCATATTGTTGATATCTACATAAATAATATATAAAAGAGAAGTAAACATTTGTTTGGATATTGTTAATGCTCGATTTTAATCATTACAAGCCTCATCAGTCAATTACCATACATCCAATTTATTCACACAACTTCTGCGAAATAGATTTATCTGTGAAGTTAATGGACAATAGATCACATGAAATAGTTAAAGAAGCATTCTCGGAATCAAGAAAAAAAGAACATGACATTGAACATTTATCCATGAGAAAAATCATGGGAGCATTTAACAGTTAGGATGTTTTTACTTGGACTGAAATTTGCTGGTCCGGTCTGGTCTGTTTTAGTCTGGTTTGGTCTGAATTGGTCTGGTAAATGTCTTGTCTCTGTGTATTTTATAACTATGGAAGTTTGTTCTGGTCTGGTTTGTTTAAGTCTGGTCTGGGACTGAAAACAGTCCAAGTAAAAACATCCTTATATCAAACTTGCAACAAGCAAAGAAAAAAATGGCATGTCAACCAACTCCATAGAGTATCAGCCTATATCATATTCATCATATTTGAACTCTTTTTTCAAAATGTTGAAACTGTGTTGCTCACAAGACTATAGAATATAGATCAAAGGAAAAGTAAAACAGACACAGGCACACAGCACATTTGACAGAAAAGCTGACAAATGCATAGTGATATACTGATATCCAACCCCAAAACTCTTTATACCTCTTCTTTCAAAAGGTATAAAGCCAAAGGATGTCCTACACCAGTTTCATTGCTCTTGCAGTTAGTAAAGACAATTTCTTAAGCTAATTCTTAATTTTATGTCCCAAGATTAGTCCTGGAGAGACCAATGACAGAGAGCTTCATTCCATTACATGCTCACCCAGCGCAATTTTAACATTGGGCGAGCACAGGTAGTAAAGCAAAGTTCATAGGTGTTGCAGATCTAGACACATACCCCTCCAAATCCAACCACTGCTAACGATTAATTCCCAATTAAATATTGCAAAGCTCAATCGAGAGAAAATGTAGAAAGACGAATGATTTCTTATAGCATAACTCATGTTTGTAAGATTTCCCAGAAGTGTCAAATCAATACAGCCATTCTCGTCCAAGACGCTTTCAACCAGTTAATGTTAGAGCAAATTTGAGAAAGGAAACAAATACCGATACGGAATGCCCAAAAAACTAACCGCATCTGCGGATGAATTGTCGGAATCCATCTCAGGCCGAAGCTTCATATATAATTGAGGGCTGCGGTAGATGGACCCAGGCGCAGCACGGTGCTTGATGATAGGCACGGTATCGAAGGAAACCGTTCCCATGTAGAAGAGCATGCAAGAGATGTAGAGCAAGGGGGCGAAGAGAAAGATTCCCTGACGACGGAGGAGGACGGAGAGGAAGATCCAGGAGACACGCTGGGCGAAGGTTTTCGGGGCAGGTTGACCCGGAGCGAAGCGGCCACCAGGTTTCCCGGAGCGGCTCACCCGAGGCGACCGAGCGCACGGCGACGACGGGGTGGAAGGGCTGCTGTGTCCGCTGCTCGGTAGCCTATTCTTGGCGCGCATGTCTCCTCTACCTTTCACATCATACTCAGTGCACACGCATAACAATGTTGAATTGAATTGAATGCCCAAAAGACAATTCCAAGGAAAAATCAAAATGCTGCGCAATCTTCCCCTCCCTTCCCCTGAAACGAGCTGCTCGGATGCACGCGCACAAGCATGTGGGTATATGTAGAGAGGGGACCGGGGTGGAGTGCACGGTCAGGGATGGTATAATGATGTTGATGGAGAGAGGAATAGAAGAGCGACAAGGCGGAAACACGGGCACAGACAGGGAGATATTCTCCGTATCGTCACAAATATGGTTATTACCAGGATAGTTGAATGCTCGAAAAGGCTAAACCAAAAACATTGAAGAACTGATCGAGGTTAACGTTGTTAATTAGGATAATAAGTACCTATACCTAAGGACAAATATCAACAAATCTTATCTTTATTCAAAGTTTCAAACTCTTTTTGCATCAATATTGGCACGAGTTTTTGAGCAAATCTGGAATGATTTCGGACATCTTTTATTTTTGAAAATGCTATTGTAATCGATACGTGAACATAATAGTAGGTTAGTTTCAATATATGTAAAAGGGTCAAAATAGGCCCTCAAACTTACATAAAAAAAAAGTCAAATAAGACTTTATACAGGAGACTCTGTTCAGTCGTCATCATTTGGGGCAGTTTCCGGTGGATTTTTTTGATGGTTTTTTTTAGCTTCTTATTGATTAAGTCTAATTTACTCATACTAAATTCCAGCTAAAACTTCAATCGGGAAGGCATTCAAATGAATTCTTGAAGATAACTGCGCTTTTAACTGCGTAGTTATCTTCAAGAATTGATTTGAATGTCTTCCCGATTGAAGTTTTAGCTGAAATTTAGTATGAGTAAACTAGACTTAATGAATAAGATGCTCAAAAAATTCATCAAAAAATTACACCGAAAACCGCCCCAAATGGCGATGGTCAGACAGAGCCTCCCATTTAAAGGCTTATTTGACCCTTTTATGTAAGTTCGGAGGTCTATCTGACCTTTTTCCCTGTATAAAAACACAATAAAGGGAGACGGGGCACTTACGTCGGGAAATTTCTCAAAATAGCAGTAAATGGAGTTTCGAATTCCAAAATATGACTACTATGTTTTTATTCCCGAAATAGGACTAACATGTTAGTACTTACTGTCAGCATGTAGGCGTGACTGTCAAATAGTTGCAGTACAGTGCATTTAACATGGCAGTATTTATTATAATTAATGTGGTATTTTCGATCATGCCAGTATTTTTCATACATGGCAGTAACAACTCCTATATTTGGAAGAAAAACATAGTAGTCATATTTTGGAATTTCAACCCTCATTTACTACTTTTTTGGGCAATTTCCCTAAAATATACTACGTATTTTAATTTGGTTAAAAGGTCAAATAGACTCTTGTACGGTCGTACCTATATGAATTGCTAAAATTTCACGACAAACCCAAAGAAGCTCATATTCGACCCACCAACCACATTGAGGAAGTGTTTGCAACTGCTTCCAAAAAACGAATTTTAGTGATTTTTGAAAAGGGAGATTTCAACAAGTAGGAGCAAAACGTACGGATTTTCCAAAACTAAGACCGAAGTTTAGCGTAAGACTCGATTACACCTGCATTGACTACAATACCCTTACTTTTAGAAAATAACAGACATTAAATAGACAATAAATAGATAATAAGTAGACAATAAACCAACAATGAAGGAAATTGATAAATGTCTTGCAGGGATGTTCTCCAAATGAATTCACGATGCTTTGCTTTCGAGATACTTCGCCGCCCAAAGTCTCTGTTTCTTCCTTCGCCGTCCAAATCGATCACTTCACCCATGTGGCCATGTCTATGTCTTCTTCCTTTTTGGAATTCATCAGATTTGTAGTTGAATTGCTAGAGGAAGCTCATCAGATTTCTAGGTGGTCTTGCCGGAGGATATGGCATTGCCGCCCGTCGCATCGGAGGGCACGACGGCGGAGGCGGTCTCGCCGACGGACACGACGGTGGAGGAAGTAGCGTTGTGGGATGTAGAGGCGTAGCAGTGTCACTGAACTTCGCACAAGGAGAACGAAGGAGATGGCTGCGGTGATGTTAACGGGAAGGGTAAAAATGGAAGACAAAAATAAAGTTTCCTAAAACGGTGCTAAATATATCATACGCATGGGAAAACATAGTTTAATCCTACTTTTGTAAAGTTCCTTTGATTTGATCCTATAGATAGCAATTTTCTCTTTTGAAAAAGTCCATAGTAAAAGTTGTTAGTGTTTGGTAAAAAAATGATTATGCAAAAAATGTTGAGATTAGAGTGTTCAGTAAAAAATGACTTTTGATGTAGTTTTTTATTAATGTACCAAAATGCCCCTTTCATTAAATCTTTATGACTGGAGTCTCTTTCATCTTTCAACGAGTAACTCAAGGCGGGGGAGAATGTTGACTCCAAGAGTTGCGTTACGGTTGGCGAAACCATGGAAGTTAGAAATGAAAATTAAAATGAACAGCTACAGATCAAAGATACAGTGATCGAATTAATTCAACCAAGCAGAAGAATGAAAGAATGAACATTAAAAACTCCACTTCATACTAACCTTCAGCGAATCAACATTTATAGATTTTCAACTTCAATTCGGCGGCGGGGGGTGCAGATACATGGAGAAAGCCATGAAGGATTAGAACTTTAGGGTTGGGGAGAACCTTGTTTCGTTGATGGGTTTGTCGATGGTGAGATGGTGAGAGATATGTTTGATAAAGGGTACGCGAGTGATGTATCAGACATGAGAGAAGGGCATTTATGCGATACATCGAGCCATATTAAAAATATAATGTCCCTCCAAGTCGGAGGTAATTAACAAGTTACCAGGAACTAGGAAATAGCAAGGTCAAGTTTGCTTCTAGCTTTTCGGATAATAAGCAGGGCTAATAAGGAGAAGTTATGTTTTGCAAACACCAATTTTGACTTTTTTTGACAAAAAAACTCAAAAGTGCTTTTGAGAAGCTCTTGTAAACAGACCCTAAATAGTTCAATCCCTCGTTTTACGTACCCGGTAAGCTCCTGTTTTCTCCCCTTACACGCCTACTCATAAGGTTATACCATTTATTTAATGTTGATTCGTTAATAACTCCAACTGTATACGTTCAGTGGAGACCAAGGAAGCGTAAGAGATAAAAGACATGTATGGTTCATCTTTGTCTTTGCTGGGAAGAAAACTGAGTGTGTACGATCCCAGCTGTCTGTGTGGTGTGAAAGCTCGTTTGTGTACAATGCAGGAAAGTGACAGGCAATTTTATGGATGCCAAAGATGAAAGGTAAAATTTCTAAATTTGGTTTTCCATTGTGTCTTGAGTTTGTCGGGTGATACAAAATTTAATGATTTTGGTTCTTTCTGGGGTGCGGGTATTCTTTTTGGAAGGTATAAATTCCAAAAAATGGTTTTGATTTTTGTACTTGGTTTGTTGTTTAATGCAAAACAACTTGATTTTAGGAGGGGTTGAGGACGGCTATTCTTTGTTGAAAATCTAAATATAAAAAATTGGTTTTCAATTGTATTTTTCGTTTGTTGTATAATACAAAAATCTATGATTTTAGGAGGAGTTGACTTTACTTTTGAGGATCTACCATGACTCTGTCAAGACAATGAAACATACATAAGGGTTGTTGGCTTAAAAGAATCCTCAATTCATGAACTGAAGGGGTTGATGTTAGCTATGCAATTTGATATACAAAGCATCAAAATGGTTGTTGAAAATGAAGCTAAAAAGAATCTATTATGGAAGAGAATATGGCAAGGACTTGCGATAATTGTTATTGCATGCAGTTGTCATTGTGAAGAAATTGTAATAGTTGTTATGGTATTATTGTAATATTGTTTTTAATGTAAGGGTATTGAATTTACTTATTACCCATGGTAGATTAGTTTTATTTAGTTGCAACTTCTGAATGTATGTCTATTAATCACTGTTCTAAAAATCGGCCTAGTCGGACCGATTAATCGGCCTATGCGGCCTTAACTGTAGAGGCATAGTCGGTCAAAAAATCGGCCTAGTCGGCCGCCTAGGCACTAGGCGTCCCTCAACCGCCCGACTAGCGCCTAGCGAAGTTTGTGAAGTATTTTAACAATGTAGTTTTGTTATTTTGTTGAAGTTTGTTGAAATATATCTAAATTGGGATATACTTGTGTTTTGAAGTCTATTGTTTACCCTAGTTGTTAACCTTAGTTGTTTTGAAGGTTCTAAACAAAGGGGCATAAAGAACCCCCTGTAAAAAATGTGCGCCAAACGGGTAATACCAATAGTACGTGCACAAACCATGTGACTCAAGTACTTGTCTGCTTCTACAAATCAATGCACACTCCACTTTTAAAGCTGCAGCAACGAATTAAAGAAGCATAATGCACACCCCACCAAAAATCAATAATGCATATTGACGGTTATAATTGTTAAATGATTACTATTTGTGATCATATGATGTGTATGAACATAATTATTGCTACAAAAATATGAGATTAAAGATCAAAATTAGGGGAAGTTCTTGAAAAAAAATCTTAAGAACCATGAGTTTGAAATTTCATCTTCATTATTTAATTCTTTTTATAATTGATTGATAGAGTATATCTAGAGAGAAGTGAGAGCTAGAGAGAGAAGTGCAATAATATGCTTCAATAGAAATGATTTTGTAACCCCTATAACTACTCCCAAGGGGAGTATTTATTGAGAAAATACGGGCTGGGCTCCCAAGCCTTGGGCTTGGGAGGCCCACTTACAACTGGACCGCTATTGGGCCGAATACAAAGCCACTAATGGGCTGTACAAATGAATAAGTATAAAATCCGGTTCTGGGAGGTCTTCGTGGCCGACGAGGGCGTGGCCGACGAGGGCACGGCCGATGAGGGCACGGCCGACGAGGGCACCCGGGTTCCTTGGGCTCAGGACCATAATCTGAGTTGGCCCCTTTTCGGCCGACGGGGGCGTCCTGGCCGACGAGGGCGCCACCCTGTGTCTTGTGCTTTCTATTCTTCCGAGTATGTGGGTCCGGGGGCTCAGACCCATATACTCCATCAGGAGTCCCCCACTCTCTAAGCTGAGACGTAGACGAAGTGAAGGAGAGTAGATTCCCGTGTTTTAGCGCTTTTGGCCGATGCGGGCATCCCTGGGCCGTTAGCCGTTGCGGCGTTGGCGTTGTTTCCTCTTTGGTGATCCTGTTCTGTGCTTTTGGCCG